GGAAATATGAATCAATCTTGAAGTACCATGCCCGCGGCGCTTGCTTTAAGCCATAAAGTGCCTTTTTTAACCTATAGACATTATCTTCTTTGCCATTTACTACAAAACCTTCAGGTTGTGAGACATAGACTTTCTCTTCCAAATCACCATTTAAAAAGGCAGATTTAACATCGAATTGGTAAACTGGCCAACTTAAATTAGCAGCCAAGGCTAAAAAAGTTCTCACAGTTTCAAAGCGAGCAACAGGAGAAAAAGTTTCTTCAAAGTCAATACCTTGTTGCTGGGAATAACCTTTTGCGACGAGCCTTGCCTTATGTTTTTAGATGCTGCCATCAGCATGATAGTTGGTTCTAAACACCCATTTGAGCCCAATAGCTTTCTTTCCTTCAGGCAAATTTACCAAGTCCCATGTCTGATTCTTTTGAATAGCCATCAACTCTTCTTCCATAGCCTTGCACCATTTATCCTCTTTTTCAGCATCTTCAAAGAGGATAGGATCTAAAACAAGTAAAGCAAAGGTACAAGATGTATTGTTAGCATATCTAGGATTTTGTTTCCTATCTCTTGTTGATCTTTTTAATGGAATTGGCTCAGCGGAAGGTTTTTCCAATATTGGAGAAGTTGTTGGTGCAATTGATGAGGTAGACGATGGACCAGCCAAAAAAGGATCAGCTACATACTCTTGATCAATAATATCGTCAGAAGGCAACAACTTAATGTTTGAACTTTCATTTGTGGAATTAAAATTCCAACTTGCATCTTCATTAAACACAACATTTCTATTGACCGTAATCTTACCACTCACTGGATTATATAACTTATAAGCCTTGGATTGTGTGCTATATCCAACAAAAATACATTTTTCACATTTTTCATCAAGCTTACGTCGAGCTTGTGAATTTATCAAGGCATAAGCTATACAACCAAAGACACGTAAGTGGCTTACCTTGGGCTTGTTACCTCTCCAAGCTTCATATGGTGTTTGATTAAACACTGCCTTAGTAGGAGAAATATTCAGCAAATAGACAGCAGTGGCAACAGCTTCAGCCCAAAAACACTTCAGTACACCTCTACCTTCCATCATGCTTCTGCCCATCTCGACAACTGTGCGGTTCTTTCGTTCTGCTACACCATTTTGCTCTGGTGTATAAGGTGCTGTGAGTTCTCTGTGTATTCCATTTTCCTCACAAAAGGAACTGAATTCTTTTGACATAAACTCACCACCTCTATCTGTTCGAAGTGTTTTGAGTCTACATCCACTTTGTCTCTCAACAAAAGATTTAAATTTCTTGAAATTGTCAAAAGTTTCAGATTTAAATTTCAAGAAATATATCCAACTCATACGACTATAATCATCAGTAAAAAGCAGAAAGTATCGACTTCCCCCTAAAGACTCAACACTCATAGGACCACACAAATCAGCATGTACTAACTCAAGACAAACAGAAGCTCTCCAAGACTTGCTTATAGGAAAACATTTTTTACTTTATTTCCCATAAACACAACTTTCACAAAAATCAAGATTCTCAACTTTTGGCAACCAAAAACCATTTCCTTTTGACTCAATAACTTCAATCCATTAACGTTTAAATGACCCCATAACGTAAATGCCATAGTCTAGTTTCATTATCTCCACTAGCTACCATAGCACACCTCTCAACCATTGAAACGTCTAGAGGAAACATTTTATTGTTAGCCATTGGAACTTTTAGCAATGATTTTCTCAGATTTTCTTATTTTTAATAGTGCAAACACCATCGTCAAAGAAAATTGAGTATCCGCTAATCATTAGTTGTCCAATGCTAAGCAAATTATGAGATAGACTAGGAACAAACATCACATCTTCTAAAATCTTAGCATTACCTTGGCTGGTCATAATGCTAACTGTACCTCTACCTTCAACCTGAATCTTCTTGTTGTCTCCTAGCCTTACATCTGATTTTTTTGACTCATCGAGCTCCTTGAACAATGATCTTGTTCCAGACATATGATTGGAACAACCACTGTCCAAGAACCAAAAATCGTTAGGAGTTTCTTTTTCACAATAAAGGGCCATGAACAACTTACTGTCATCATCATTTTCCTCTACAAAGCTTGCTTGGTTATTCTCATCCCTCTGTTTTTGCCAACAATAAGCTTCTTTATGACCTGATTTTCTGCAGTAGTTGCACAGAAACGTCTTAGCCTGCTTCTCTTCATTTGATCCTCCTCTATCTCGATTTCTTCCTTGGCCTCTTCCACGGCCTCTTCCTCGAAAACCACCTCTGCCTCTTCCACGATTTGCAAAGATTTCTAGCTTATCTTTCTGATGAATGGACTCCCCCTTCACCTGGAATACCTTCTCTTCATTTTTTTCATGCGATCTTAGGAGCCTCTCTTCATGAGCTTGCAAAGAACTCATTAGTTCATCAAAAGTATACTCAGATAAGTCATGAGATTCCTCAATCGCAACAACAATATGTTCAAACTTTGAAGTAAGACTCCTTAAAACTTTTGCTACAACCGTTTCTTCAGATATGATTTCACCATAAGGCTTCATTTGATTAACAAGAGAAGAAACTCTAGACAAATAAGTTTGAACAGATTCATTACTTTTCATAGAAAGAGTTTCAAAGTCACGACGGTAAGTCTGTAATTTTACCGTAATCACCTTAGCTGAACCTTGAAATTCCTTCTTCAAAATCTTCCATGCCTGCGAAGATGTAGTTGCTGCTGCAATTCTTGAAAAAATTGTATCGTGGACTGCTTGTTGAATCAGGAATAGTGCTTTCGCATCCTTCTTTTTTATCTCTTTCAATTTTTCCGTCTCTTCGTCAGAGTCTGATTGCTCCACGAAGCCTGCTTCAACCAAATCCCAAACTCCTTGTGATTTGAAAAGAGTTTTCATTTTGATACTCCAAAACTCATACTTTTCACCAGTAAAAATTGGCATGAGTTGTTGGGAAGATGATGAAATACCATTTACTGCCATTTTTCCTCACACTTTCCAGAAAGGAACCTTGCTCTTGATACCAGATTTGTTGGAAAGAAAAAAGGAAGTAAAGGAGAAAGTGAACAGAAAAATATAGCAAAAAACAGAAGTAAAAGCTACTGCAAAGTTTTGTTTCTAATTTATAATGGAAGCAACAAGTCTGCCTATAAATAGGCTTACTGTAAAACAGAAAATACTAAAATCTAGGTCCACTAAACCACTAACTACTAATTAGCTACTAATCTGCCACAATATCTAAACATGCTAAGATAAAGGAAACTAACTAACAAACTCCTGAAGACTTGGTCAAGTATATGAATCACTTTTCAACAGTAGCATCTCATCTGGTAGACAAGTGAGCTCTTTCACGTTACTGACAAAAAGATTCACAAGAGATGTCAAGTTGCTCCACAAGTTCAACAATGGCATTTCACTGTCAACTCCTTCAATTCTTAATTCACGCAGGATTTCAAATTGAGTTGGAGTACTTTTTAACAGTGGACACTTTGTAATCCTCAACTTCTCAAGCGTGGGAAACAGTCTTTCTCCAACTTCATCTCCCTTCCACTCAATAAGGCTACGCATATCCTCCAATACAAGTTCTTTCAATGAGAGGAACACTTGGATATTGCCATTAATCTCAACACCATAAAATGTAGGTCCGATGCATTCCAATTCAAGGAATCCTATCAGCTCAAGATACCGAAGGAACTTCAGTTGGCCAAACGATGGAATTTCTTTGCACCTTTTGCAACCACTTAATTTCAACATGACCAAATTCGGTAGCAATTCTTTACTGAACCATGAAGGAAATATAGTCCCCAAATAGTTCTCCACTACTAAGGTTTTCAAGTTAGGATGCGGTTGAAGACCATCCAACACATGTTCATCATTGATCTAACATACATCTGATTCATCATGGGACCACAAATATGTCAGCTTGTAGATATTTGGTTTCTCCTGTAAATATGCTGCTCGAGCCTCTTCTTTAGTTCTGACTGATTGCAGACCTCTGATCGTCAATTCACCTCTAAGGTTTTTCAGATGACCTAATTCTTCTATTCGACGACCTTTCTCTGAACCCACCTTGAAAAACTCTAGGGTTTGAACACAAGTCAATTGTCCCATATTAAGTGGTATCTGCATATCAAATTTGTAATGATAGCTGCAATATATGTGTCTCAAACTTATCATATTTGCCATTTCTTCTGGAAGCTTCCTGAGTGAAGAATAGTCATTGACTCTAAATGTTTGCAAATTGTAGAGCTTGCAAATGGAATTGGGCAAGGCTTCGATCTGCGTGTCGGAGAGATCAAGATACCTCAGGTATATTAGCTTGCCGATTTTGGCTGATAACTCCTTGATGCCTGACCTGGACAATTTAAAACCCTCAAGAACTGAAAGTTCAATAGCATATCTTCAGATAGATTTCTTTTCCAGAACAATGTGCACAAACGTCCTGGCTCATTTATCATATCCATTTGATCACTTGGTGAGTTCCATCCAAAGTATCGGACTTGAGAAAGATTTTCTCCTCTAACACTCTTTTGATCAAATAGTTTAGACTTTAAAATATCTTCAGCCAAATCATGCACAAGATCATGCATTTTACAATGTGTTATATTGTTGAGCTCATCTATCTTAACATCTTGCAGCAAGGAATATTGCAACAAGAGTTGGAAAAACTTGTTCCCGACGTCTTCCATCACGGGGGTCTCTTGACATGGACGAAGAAACCCTTCTGCCATCCAGAGTTGGATTAGTTGGTCCTTCTCAAACTCAAAATCTTTTGGAAACATAGCAAAGTAAGCAAAACATTTCTTCAGATGTGGAGATGGTAGATAATCATAGCTGAGTTTTAGGATTTTCTTTATGCTATTTTCCCCTTTATCATCTTCACCTGCAACAAGGTGGTTTCCATCAAGAATTGCCTGCCATTCATGTTTTTCCTTGTTGCATAAGAGGCCTCCCAACACACTTGCAGCCAACGGCAGACCTTGACACATTTCAACAATCTTGGTCTCCACGCTCAGTATTTCCTCCGCCTTCGGAACCTCCCACCGACAAACGCTCTTTGTTTGAAAATGGACCAACAATGATCTCTTGCTAATCTTCTCAACATATGAAGATCTTCTGCTACTATGGATGCCACCTGCTTCATACGAGTAGTCACAAGAATGCAGTTTCCTCTGGATGTATTTATTCCTTTCAAGGTGTCCACGAACTCATGCCACGATGTAGAGTCAACACGCCACATATCATCTAGGACAAGCAAATACTTTTTTCCTTCCAATTCATCTTGTAGCTTCTTAACTATTAAATCTCTCCTTTGAACCTCAACTTTCCTCTCTGTCAATGATTCAAGGATTTGTTCAAGAAAGCTCTTAGATTCTGACATTTCAGGTAGGCACAACCAAACTCTCTTTTCGAACTGCTGCTTGATGTGTTTGTCACTGAAAATTCTCTTAGCCATAGTTGTTTTCCCTAAACCACCCATACCCACTATGGGAATGGTGCACAGAACAACTTCCTTTCTCATGTTCAAAATCTTCTCCTTTATTTCAGCAATATCTTTGTCTCTACCAACAACATCCGAAGCAACAACTACGGAATCTATTTCTCGAATTGGTACTATGTTCCGAGAAGGAACCATCAGTGATTGGAGACCAAGGTCTTTGGCTAACTGATTGATAGCCCTCAACTCTTCATTGATGTTGTTGATTTTTTCAGACATTTTGTACTTAAAAACAGTATGAGAAAAGAAGTTGCTGACCTTTTCCATTAGTTTGGTTCGGATGTTCATCACTTGTGCTTTGAGATATTCATATCTGAATTCGTCAAACACGTTTTCAGCGTCTTCAGCAACTCTCTCAAGCATTTTGAGCCATTGTTCAACAGCCTGATCATCAACTTGTCATCTTTCAGCATCATGAATGAGAGCTTGGATCATGGATACATATTTTGTCAACATTCTTAGATTTTTCTTGCAGTTCCTTAAACTCTTGGCCTCCTCAATAGTGAGAGAAAGCAGCTTATCAAGCACAACTTTAACAGTAGCACCAATTACAAGATCGGCCATCGTTGCAATGCTCTTTACAAAGTTGTTTTCTTCCTCTATACACCAAATCTTCTCAAATTTCTTGCATAAGTATTCTTTTGCTAGTTGTTTGCCGGCCTCTACAAGAAAGAGAATAATTTGAATAAAGAATGTTTTTTTTGGATTAACAGCTAATCATCCTTTAAATAAATAATTTGTGTGTTGTTTTTATTTCTAATGAATGACAGTCTGTTATGAGTCTGCCACAAGAAAATAAGGATACCAAAAAGGAAGTCACATTCAAATCAAGTTTTTGCACGTATTGCCCTTCAAACAGACTGGTGTTTAATTATGAAAATTTGGGGGACCAAAATATATCTGTCGAGACCTAATTCGCTCAGCATAAGTTTAAATAACTTTTGCTTCGCTTGGCATAAGTTCTGTATAAATTAAATATTCCAACATAAGTTGTGTAGTTTTTTCTAAAATTTGTTGTAGTGTTCAGAAACTGGAGTTATGCTTTTGGGGCATATGCATTCTTTATCCTTTTTAGAGAAAAAAATTGGGTTTATATTTTATTTTATTTTTTGCATTATGCCCTCCCGGCTCTTAGCATACAACATAACTTGTGGAATATTATGATACAAACATGTAAACTTGTATCATGGGAAAGTTATTTGTTATTTCAATATCAGGGGCATATGCCATAACTTAAGGTATACTATGATACATATAAACTCATGCTGCGAAAAAGTTGTTATTTTGGTGTAATGGGCATACCTTAGATGGAAATCTTGGTTGAATAAGCAGAGTAGAGATATAAACATATAAACTTATGCTGTGAAAAAGTTGTAATTTTTTTGTATGTTTTGATTGTTATTTTATAACATAAAAAAAATCTAACAATATATGTGTCTTTGAAAATTTATCATTTGCAATACAAAATTTGTATTAGGTATTTTGGAATAAACGTGCAAGGCAATTCTGAGAGACCACTAAAATAAAAATCTCAAGACACAAGTTGTTCTACAGCATACAACCATGGCTGAGAAATCTAGCAAAGTGACTTGCATAAGTTGCTCTTTCTACTTTGAATGCTATTCAACACTACCAGTTAATTCAGTTTAGAATTAGACCAACATCAAAGGTCTACTAGTTTCACTTCCGGGATTTTCCACATTCAAGGATATAATATCTCAAATCCAGTTTCAGCCAAATGCAAACGAGTTTACCGAATGCAATTTCCCTTGCCAATTATGAAACTGTAACACATCTAACACAAGTACCATTTCGACGAGGTCCATGCTCGTGTTTCAAACATGAATCTGAAATAATTCCAGAAATGGTAAAAAGTCAGTTTTGGCACACGTTTCCTCCTTGGGAGAATGGAGAAGAAAATCATTACAAGTAACCACTAAAAAAAGGAGAACGCAAGACCTGCTAAGATGAGCAGATGTTGCTAAGGACATTTTAAGAGCCAATGGGGCATTATTTGCTAAATGATTCATGACAACTATCTCTGTTGAAGTCCATCAATGACGAAAGTTTAATGAACGGAGAAATTGTCCTGTGAAGTGAAAGTAACGACAAGTGTGTCATCTATTCATAAAAGTTATTGTTGACATACTCACTAGTTTGTTAGTTTGTTATTAATTCTTATCAGGTTGTTAGAGTAGATTTAGATTAAGTTGTTAAAGTAGTTCCTTAGTTTTAGTCAACTTAGTTACATATTAAGTTGTTAGAACAGTTCCTTAGAATTAGTCAAGTTAGTTACGTCTTACCTGTATTTAAGTTATGTAACATTTGAATAAGATTCATTCAAGTTTGCTTTGATTCTCAATCTCCTTATGGTATTAGACCCCCTCTCTCACGAGTCCGATCCAAAGTTTTTTTCCTCTCTTTGCGTCCAAACATGGTTGTTCCTGCTACCACCAATGATAGGGCTGCTGCAGTTCCGACTACCACTCATGTGGTACAGTTCAATCCAGCTGCCCAATTACCTATCAAACTGCAAGGTAACCTCAACTTTAGCACCTGGAAGGCGCAACTAGTGATGCTACTCAATGGACACAAGCTCCTTGGGCATCTCACTGGTGCCAATCTGCTCCGCCAACCACTATCACACAAACTGATAGTACCATCTCCAATCCTGAATATGAGCTATGGTTTTGCCAGGACCAACTAATTCAACAGGCAATGATGGCATCCGTTGACCCCACCATTGCTCCTATTGTTGCAACTGCCTCTTCGGCAAAAATAGCTTGGGATCTCCTTCATATAGCTTATGCCAATAGGAGTCACACTCGCATCTTCAGCTTACGAGATCAGTTGCAAAACATGAAAAAGGCCTCCAAGACAGTTGCTACTTACCTACAAGAGATCAGATCAATTGCTAATGCTTTCAAAGTAACGGGCTCTCCGGTGGATAATGATGAACTAGCAGTCAAGATTTTGAGTGGCCTAGGTCATGAGTACCGTGAAATCACTGCCGCTATAAGAGCGCGCGAAACAGCCCTAAGCTTTGAGGAGTTGTTCCAGAAACTCACGGACCATGAACTCTTTCTCAAACATCAAGATATTGACAGGTCATCCTCTATCATTACAGCTGCAGTTGCACAAAGGACCAACTTCCAGCCCCAACATCAAAAAATAATCATCGCTTCCCAAATCAATCTTCAAGACCACAAGCTCCACGACAGGCGGTCCCTGGAAATCAACAGAATGGGAGACTACCCAGGCAAGCAGTAAAATGCCAACTTTGCCAAAAGATCGGTCACACAGCTGATGTGTGTCGCTCAAAATCGCACAACCACTTTGAAGCTAAGGTCAACTTTGTGTCAAATCATCACTCAAATGCAAATCCTTGGATCATCGACTCTGGAGCAACTCATCATGTCACAATTGAGTCAGATAATCTTGAAGAATACACTGGCAATGAGGAAATGTCCATAGGTGACGGTAAAACTATTCTTATTACTCACACTGATTTTACTCAAATTAAGGCTTCTAACTCCAATTTCATGCTCTCTAACACTCTTTGTGCTCCAGCTATCAAAAAGAACCTTATTTCTGTTGCTAAGTTTTGCACTGACAATCTGACCTCAATCGAATTTTTCCCACACTCATTTCTTGTGAAGGATCTCAAAACTCGGAGACTGCTGGTACAAGGCTAGAATAAACACGGACTCTATGAGTGGCCACAGAGGGATCATGTGTCACCTTCCGCCAACTTCACCTCCACCAAAGTTTCTCGTCAATTGTGGCATCGTCGCTTGGGTCACCGTTATCTGAAAATCCTAGACTTAGTACTGAATAAATTTTCACTTCCCTTTTCCACCAAAGAAAAGTTTCATTTTTGTAATTCATGCTCATCAAATAAAGCTCATCGTTTGCCATTTCAACGACTCACTTTAAATAGTAATGCACCACTTCAAACTTTGTTTAGTGATTTATGGGGTCCATCACCCATTTTATCCATTGATAAAAAGTTGTATTACTGCATTTTTGTTGATCATTACACCAAATACACTTGGTTGTATACAATCAAAAACAAAAGTGAAGTCGCTTCAATTTTTACAAACTTTCATCCTTTAGTGGAAAAAATTTCCAAACACAAAATTGTCTCACTTTATACTGATGGAGGGGATGAATACACAAGTCTTAAACAGTACCTACAATGCCATGGCATTCAACATTTGATCTCCCCACCCTACACGCCCCAATGAGTTGCAATTGCTGAACGACGACATCGTCACATTGTCAAAACAACTCGAACTATTCTCAATGAAGCCTCACTATCATCTAAACTATGGTCATTTGCCTGTCACCATGCTGTCTATCTCATAAATAGACTACCTACACCTGACTTGAATAATGATTCTCCTTATAAAAAATTGTTTGGCGAACCGCCAAAATACTCTTCGCTGAAAATTTTTTGTTGTCTATGTTATCCATGGCTTAAGCCATATACAAAAAATAAATTTCAGCCTAGATCTACACTGTGTGTCTACTTAGGAGTTTCTATTGTTCATCATGCACACCTCTGCTTTAATCCTATGCACTCAAAAATTTTCGTCAGTCGTGATGTTCAATATTGTGAAGATATTTTTCCTTTCACTCAAATGTTCTCACACTTGAAAAATATGTTTTCCACGTTATAATGGGAAATCATAGAGTCCCAAGTCGGTAAGGATACTCATCCGGAAGTCCAATTAAATTTGGACTTCAATCTTGTTCCAACTCTTCCGCCTCCTATTCCTATCACCCTAACAGTTCCCTCTCATTCAAACACTCCAGAGTCCATAATTGAAAGGCAACTACCAGCAGTCTCCACTTCATCAGGTATGATTCTTATCTCTTCCCAACCTCATTCACTATTTAATGAAGCAGCCCACAACACCTCTCAACCATTATATTATTCCCGTCGGCCACCAATCAACCAACATCCACCGCAACAGCTAACAATTATGTCACCAGTTGCTGTCCCTCCACCATCCGGTGTGGTCACAAGGTCCAAAAATAATATCTTCACACCAAAGAAAAAATTCAGCTTCTTGTCCTACCTTTCTCCCACTCCAAATACCTTTAAGCAAGCAGTTAAGCACATTGAATGGAAGAATACAATGGATCTGGAATATGAAGCCTTAATGAAAAACCAAACTTGGGAACTAGTACTTAGGGACCCGATAAATAATGTTGTTGATTGTAAGTGGTTATTTCACATTAAAAGGAAAGATGATGGTTCTATTGACAGCTACAAGGCGCAATTAGTTGCAAAAGGTTTCACACAATGTCCAGGACTGGACTTTCATGAAACTTTCAGTCCGGTTGTCAAACCAACCACCATCAGAATTGTACTTTCTATTGCAGTTCAAAATAATTGGAAAGTGCAGCAGCTTGACGTAAATAATGCATTTTTGTAAGGTAACTTACAGGAGCAAGTATTCATGGCGTAGCCGAAAGGCTATGTCAACCCTGATTTTCCCAATCATGTCTGCCATCTCCAAAAGGCCATTTATGGCCTAAAACAAGCTCTTCGTGCATGGTATGAAGCTCTCAAATTTCACTTGACTAAAATTGGGTTTGTTAAGTCTGAATCAGATGCTTCTCTGTTTATTTTTACATCTGAAGCTGTCACGATGTATATTCTATTGTATGTTGATGATATCCTCATTACTGGGAATTACCCAAACTTGGTCACACATGTAATCAACTCTCTGGCTTACAAGTTCTCTCTAAAGAACCTGGGTGAACTCAACTATCTTTTGGGGATCGAAGTCAAAATGTTCCAAATGGGATTGTCTTTTCACAATCCAGATACATACTTGAGATGTGGATATGGCCAACTGTAAAGGAGTTACGACACCCATGTGCTCAAGTTTACCACCCAAAGCAGCCGATGGTTCACCTCATGCCGATACAACCTTGTATCAACGCACCATTGGTAAATTGCACTACTTATCATTCACGCGTCCTGATATTGCCTTTGCAGTTAACAAACTATCACAGTTTATGCAATCCCCAAGTCTGGAGCATTGGAAAGCAGTAAAAAAGGTGTTTCGATACCTCAAGGCATCATCAACGTCGTGCCTACAAATCTCTAGCCACTCTAATAGTAATATGTATATGTACGCCGATGCTGATTGGGCAGGTGATCCCTCTGACAGAATATCCACATCTGGTTACATACTCTTCTTGGGACCAAATCTGATCTGTTGGTCCTCTAAAAAGCAACAATTAGTTGCTCGGTCCTCTATTGAAGCAGAATACAAATCGGTAGCCAATGCACTCTCTGAACTTACTTGGGTACACAATCTATTGACTGAATTACGATATCAAGTCTCGCAAACGCCAAGATTTTTTTGTGATAATATTGGTGTTTCATAACAGTAACAAATAAACAATTTATATAAAGCTACTACAAATAAGCAGTTTATATTCACATAAGCATGATAAGTAAATCATTTAGGCATTAAAACACACAACAAAAATGAAACAAACAGATGTTAAAAACTTAATTATTAACCTAAGTTTGTTATGGTCGGGGATCAAATTACAGACACTCTCACAAAGCCGCTACCCAAGCCTGCCTTCTTTTGGTGTTTATCCAAGTTAGGCGTTGTTGCACCACACCTAACTTTAGGGGGGTGTGTGCTATACCTCATTAACTCGAGGTCAAAACGTGTACAACATATTGGTGATTTCCAAATTAATTAACTTAAGAAGTCGCCACCTAATTAATTATGGTGAATTAGGACACCTAAATATTTAACTAAGTAAAACTAAAACTTAAGATTCTAGGTAAGGGTTCTAATTATCCTAAAGGGAAGGGGGTAAGGCATCCTTTAAGATTCGTTAAAAATACGATTACCGACCAAACTTAGGTTAATTAATTTTAAAAGAAAGATATGAGTGCTAAATATTAAGTGATTGAATAACCAAGTTGGAAAACATTTTTTATTTTAAAAGCTCTTTTGCAATTTATTAGAATGAAAAAGATTTAAGAAAGAGTAAAATCTTAAATCCGTGGCTAAAAATCCATGGCTAAAAATAAGTAATTAAAAAAATAGACACTTGCTCATTGACTGACAAGGTGCTCCCGTTAGAAAAAGTTTTAGAAAAATAAGAGTTTAGAACAACAAATTTTCTTTGTAAGACATTGCCAAGTTTGAACCAAACTTAATAAATCTAGTGAGATTAAAATGGTGCAAAAAGAAGTATTTTTTAAAAAAGGTTTGCCAAATGAAGTTTATAAAAGGTAAAGTAACTAATAAGGTTTAGTTTCTAACTAAAGGAACCCAAATCCAAACATCTATATTAAGTCAATTATCATGAATCCAAACTAGAAATATCTAAATCACACAAGCAAGTATAACACGTAAAGAAAAACACGTAAACAATTAATGCAAAATGTAAGTAGCCATAAGTGACTCCAAGATAGGACCACTTGTTTTGCTTGCAATTTCGAATGGTCAAAAGATGTAGTGAAGACTCCATGTGCAAGTGTGAGGATAATGTTGAGTCTATGAGACTCAATAATTGGTAGAGTCCTAATCAAAACTCCGTTTTTTCCTCCCAAAGTGTACATGTACAACAATAAGAGAAATAAAAGGATTAGACATGCAGGTAACTAATAGGTGAAACAAATATACATTCTATTTATTCAATTCCAACACAAGTACCTTAATAGTAAGTATGAAATAAATTGTAACACCCAACTAACTTATACATTCTTCTATAGGAAGAAAATAAAATTTCTTTAACTAATATTTACAAGCATGCTTACAGTGAATAAATATCTCAAAGCCTTTAAATTAAACCAATACCATTCTCGTTAAAGGATAGCAATCATCACAACACATCACAACATATTAAACAAGAAACAAAACCTTCACCTGGATACAATATATAAACAAATATATTTATTTAATATCTAAGGCCTATTTAGTTAATTATAGAAAGGTCTCTAAGGTAATATTATTGAGTTACAATGTATAGCACATTTTGGTTCAAATATACAATGTAAGAAGAAACTAAAGCTCGAACTATATATAATATTTATAAAAGTAGCATTCACAAGTCAAATTAGAACCAAATCTGAATCCAATAAGCAACTTTTCTTTCCAAAATATATTTTAATACATACTGTTGAGAAAAAGAAAAAATAAAAAAAATATAGCAATAAACTTTAGCACAAGGATTTTGCTTTTTATTCAATTTAAAATTCATTGGCGAGTTTAAGCATAAATAAGGCCACAGCTTCTAAATACCAAGATTACTAATAAATGCGGCAAGTTTGTATTCAATTTCTCTGCATATAAAACAAATAAATAGATATATCTATGACATGATTCTCAACACAACATAATAATCTTAAAACATAAGAATAGCGAAAACAATATCTATTTATCACATAGAGATACAAATAAATACCAAACTTTGAACCAAAAACAGATTACATATCACCAACCCCTTCCAAAACAAATCATTCTTTAAATTAAAATGTGAAGGAGATATGAACTCAAATCTCTCCAGGCCTCAAACTAAATAAAAAAAAACATAATTTTTAAACATCACTTTCATGATAGCTAAAAATAAGTGAGTATTATACTTGACGCATGGTTTTTCTTACAATAGGTATAACATTTTCACGGAGACAATAATAGAAGTAAAAGTAAAGGGACAAAGATCACCTGCTGCGGGGTAGTGAACGGGGGCTTGCGGTCTCGATCTTAGATCTACTTACTAACTCTGATGACCACCGTTAATGGTCGAAACGAACACACAAACTATTGCTGCGACTGGAATGCCAAAGAAAATGGTAAAATACGAAAATAGAAGAGATGGTTTAGAGGAGAAATAACTAAAAATTTTAGAGGTGAGGGGCTGCCAGATTTTGAAAAAAATCCTCCCAAATAAGCTCTGAAATGTAAGTATTTATAGGGAAAAATTAGGGTTCTTCATTTGTGTTGAGCAGGAATAGAATTTTGAAATTTGAAATTGTTAAGTTCTGAATATCCTCCCACCTACTTTAATTTTTGGAATATGGGAAATGTTGGACCACTGGGAGTTTGGGCTACTCCAATTGGTGCAACTTTCTTCTAACTGTGGGCAGTCTTTAATTTTCAGGAACTGTAATTTCGTGAGGCTTCGCATGACATCTCTGGATGGCAGACGCTCCAGTATTTCGCAGTTCCAAAAAATTAACATTTCCAAACAAACAGGGTTGCTGAGCCCATCCGACAGAGCTTCTAACAATGGACAACCACAGATCTCAAGATAATGTAATTTGGGCATGGCATCTCTGAAGTCCACATGTTGTAGCCGTTTGCACCCCACTAGATGTAATGTTTCAAGAGAAGTAAGATTGCAAAGACTATGAGGAAGATCATCGATACCGAAATCACTTAATCTGATCTCAATTAGGGAAGAGAGTTGCATAAGCTGATAGGGAAGAGAATCCCAGTGCCCATGTCCGTACACCCACAACGTATGAAGGGACAATAGCGGCTGAATGCCATTAAAAATCAATTGGAATGCCTCAAAATCCACAATCTCTGAGAAAGGACCAATTTTCAAATCCCATAACCCAGTGAGATGGTGAAGGCCTCCTGTGGGTAGACTAATCAATTTGGGACAATTTGACATATCCAAAATGGAAAGTGAAGGTACTTCCCACACATGTAAAGGGAAGGAAACCAAGTTCTTACAGTTGCTGACCCTCAAAATCTTTAGAGACCGGCATTGTTCTAGCATTCCATTTGGTAAACTGGTCAATCCATCACAATAAAGTAAGTGAAGCCTTCGGAGGGAAGTTAAATAATTCTCTCCACTGGGAACAGGAAAAGAACTAAAATTGGGGCAGAAGGATATTCGTAAGCTCTCAAGGGAATGGAGATTGTACAAGCTCTGTGGCAATTCACAAAACTTTCTGCAATCTGAGATCCACAGGCGTTGAAGAGAAACGTTCTTGCGTAGCATCTCATCAGGTAGACAAGTGAGCTCTTTCACATCACTGACATCGAGATCCACAAGACATGTTAAGTTGCTGCACAAGTTCAACAATGGCATTTCACTGTCAACTCTTTCAATTTCTAATTCACGCAGGGTTTCCAATTGAGTTGGAGCACTTTTTAACAGTGAACACTCTGTAATTGTCAACTTCTCAAGCCCAGGAAACATTTCTTACTCCAACTTCATCTCCCTTCCACTCTATTAGGCTATGCATATCCTTCAATACTAGTTCTTTCAATGACGGGAACACTTGAATTTTGCCATTATTGCTGCTTGATCCATTATCAACACCATAAAATGTAGGTCCAATGCATTCCAATTCAAGGAATCCTATCAGCTCAAGATGCCGAAGGAACTTCAGTTGACCAAGCGATAGATTATCTTTGCACCTCTTGCAACCACTTAATTTCAACATGACCAAATTTGGCATCAATTCTTCATTGAACCAAGAGGAAATATAGTCCCCCAATAGTTCTCCACTACAAAGGTTTTCAAGTTAGGATGTGGTTGAAGACCATCCAACACATGCTCATCATTGATCTCACAGCCTTCTGATTCATCATGGGACCATAAATACACCAGCTTGTAGATATTTGGTTTCTCCAGTAAATATGCAGTTTGAGCCTCTTCTTTATTGCCGACTAATTGTAGACGTTTGATTGTCAATTCACCTCTAAGGTTTTTCAAACGACCTAATTCTTCTATTTGACGACCTTTCTCTACACCTACATAGAAAAATTGTAGCGTCTGAAGACTGATCAATTGCCCCATATTAAGTGGCATCTGAAACTGATAATCAATTTCAGATTGGTAATGTATGTGTCTCAAACTTATCATATTTGCTATTTCTTCTGGGAGCTTCCTCGGTGAAGAACAACCATTGGCTCTAAATGTTTGCAAATTGTAGAGCTTGCAAACGGAGTTGGGCAAGTCTTTGACCTCAGTGCTGGAGAGATCAAGATATCTCAAGTATATTAGCTTGCCGATTTTGGCTGACAATACCTCAATGCCTGACCTGGACAAATTTATAACTCTCAAGAACTGAAAGCTCAACAACATATCTTCAGATATATTTCTTTTCCAGAAAAATGTGCACAAATGTCCTGACTTGTTTATCTTATCTATTTTATCACTTGGTGAGTCCCATCCAAAGTATTGGACTTGAGAAAGATTTTCTCCTCCTACACTTTTTTGATCAAATAGTTTAGACTTTAAAATATCTCCAGCCAAATCATGCACAAGATCATGCATCTTACAGTGTTATATTGTTGAGCTCATCTAGCTTAACATCTTGCGACAAAGAATATTGCAACAAGAGTTGGAAAAACTTGTTCCCGACGTCTTCCATCACAGTGGTCTCTTGACATGGACAAAGAAACCCTTCAGCCATCCAGAGTTGGATTAGTTGGTCCTTCTCAAACTCAAAATCTTTTGGAAACATTGCAAAGTAACCAAAACATTTCTTCAGATGTGGAGATGATAGATAATCATAGCTTAGTTTTAGGATCTTCTTTATGCTATTTTCCCGAAGATCATCTTCCCCTACAACAAGGGGGTTGCCATCAAGAATTGCTTGCCAGTCATGTTTATCCTTGTTGAATAAGAGGCCTCCCAACACACTTGCAGCCAACGGTAGACCTTGACACATTTCAACAATCTTGTTTTCCATGCTCAGTATTTCCTCCAGAACTTCCCCACCAACAAACGCTCTTTGTTTGAAAATGGACCAACAATGATAGTCTGTTAATTTCCCCAACATATGAAGATCTACTGCTATTGTGGATGCCACTTGTTTGATACGAGTAGTCACGAGAATGCAGATTCCTCTGGATGTATTGATTCCTTTCAAGGTGTCCATGAACTCATGCCACGATGTAGAGTCAACACACCACAAATCATCCAGGACAAGCAAATACTTTTTTTGTCCCAGTGCATCTTGTAGCGTCTTGACTATTATATCTCTGCTTTGGACCTCACCTTTCCTCTTTGTCAGTGATTCGAGGATCAATTCAAGAAAGCTCTTAGTTTCTGACATTTCAGGTAGGCACAACCAAACTCTCTTTTCGAACTGCTGCTTGATGTGTTGGTCATTGAAAATTCTCTTAGCCACAGTTGTTTTCCCTAAACCCCCCATACCCACTATGGGAATGGTGCACAGAACAACATCATTTCTCATGTTCAAAATCTTCTCTTTTATTTCAGCAACATCTTTGTCTCTACCAACAACATCCGAAGCAACAACTACGGAATCTGTTTCTCGAATCGGAAGTATTTTCCGAGAAGGAACCATCAGTGATTTGAGACCAAGGTCATTGGCTAACTGATTGATAGCCCTCAACTCTTCATTGATGTTGTTGATTTTTCGAGACATTTTGTACTTATAAGCAGTATGAGAAAAGAAGTTGCTGACCTTTTCCATTAGTTTGGTTCGGATGTTCATCACATGTGCTTTGAGAGATTCATATCTGAATTCATCAAACACGTTTTCAGCATCTTCAGCAGCTCTCTCAAGCATCTTGAGCCATTGTTCAACAGCCTGATCATCAACTTGTCGTTTTTCAGCATCATGAATGAGATCTTGATCATGGATACATATTTTGTCAGCATTCTGTGATTTTTCTTGTAGTTCCTTAAAATTTTAGCCTCCTCAATAGTGAGAGAAAGCAGTTTATCAAGCACAACTTTAACAGTAGCACCAATTACAAGATCGGCCATCATTGCAATGCTCTTTACAAAGTTGTTTTCTTCCTCTATACACCAAAATCTTCTCAAATTTCTTGCAGAAGTATTCTTTTGATAGTTGTTTGCCAGCCTCTACAAGAAAGAGAATAATTCATAGACAATAATTTGAATAAAGAATTCTTTTGTGGAATAATAGCTAATCATCCTTTAAATAAATATTTTTGGGTGGTGGTTCTGTGTTGTTTTTATTTCTAATGAATGGCAGTCACTTTCCAATTAATAGTTGACATATATTGGGCAGTTTAGAACTGTTTAGCTAATTTATCTATTTCCCTTCTCATTACTGACGCTCTGAATAGAATTATAGTATGAGGGTTATGTTAATCTGAAAAAGTTAAATCTGATTACCTGCTAATACATGTTATTGTCTGAGACCTATTATGTATTAACATAGTGAAGTTGTTTGTTGAAAAAAAGGCAGTTTAGAACCAACAAAGGAAAACATTACCAAATTACTAAAAAATTCGGCAAACTTTCCATTATGATTTTGAATAATGCTTAAGAAATCAAGTTCCTCAGTCCTCGTAGACACAAGCCTGATGAGTTTCCATTCCAAACAACAAGACCAGTTCCACAAGTCTGTTTTCAGGCGCAAAACAGCACATTACCCCAAGAGAATGAGCCTCACATCATCTTTGTTCATGTAATGCAGGTGCTATTGTGGAAACAACAATTTACCCAAAGAGAAAAAAACCATCAAAGGAAAAGGGACTAGGTAAGAAGGATTTTACGTTCTTCAAAAAACAATTGATTGAATGTGCAATGCTTCCAGCCCTTGTGGCATCTATAACATGCTCATCATCGATTTGAAACATGTATGTTCCAGCACCCCGAGATTAGAAATCATGTTATTACAGCAAGTGAATAATACATTTTCACCAACTATCACCTTAGATCCTTCATCAAGCTAGTGAACAAAAATAGTTACCACCAAAGATGAAAAGGGGATGCTTATGAAAAATTTAAAACACCACTGAATTCATAAAAATAATCAGTGAGAATTTATTTGAGCTGCAACTCATGAACAGAATTCGAAAAAGGGCACCTCCCATGTATACCCTTTATTATCTTCACGATACAACCTGAATAGATATAACAACTATTGAGTTTCTTCTTCTTTAGTACAGGTTGGAAGAGAGGAAGGGTCAGACATTAATACAACAAAAGAAAGGGGGAAACTAGGTGGAATTTAATCAGAATCACGAGAATGCAATAAACACTCCTATCATCAATTTTTTTGAAAACTGGTAATTTGTATTCCTCAGCATTAAGGATATGCTGGAGACCTCCAAAAAGTTATCAACAACGAGTTATAACTATTAACTAAGGCTAATTACAAAGAGCCTAAAAAATCTACCGATTGAACATATTCTACATTTGCTAGTTTACACCAAAAGTGAAAATCTACGATGCAATTCCATTTAATCTTTTGCAGAGTATTAGACCTGCCCTCAAAACACCTCCCTTTTCTTTTCTTCCATATTGTTCACCAAATACACAAAGGAATTGCTCTCCGCCATCTTTTCTGGGACTTGCTACCCCTCTCCTGATCCAACAACTTAGAAGATCTGGTATATGTTCTGGCATAATCCAGTTGGAACTTGTGAGGCTGAAGAAAAGTGATACCAAGAGACCTCAAGTTTCCTCTCTGTCAATGTTTCGGGGATCTATTCAAGAAAGCTCTTAGTCTCTGACATTTCAGGTAGACCCATCCGAACTCTCTTTTCAAAGTGTTTTTCTATCTCTTCATCATTGAAAATTCTCTTAGCAAATACTAGTTTTCCCTAAACCTCCCATGCCCACTATGGGAATGGTGCACAGAACAACTTCCTTTCTCATGTTCAACATCTTCTCCTTAATTTCAGCAACATCGTTATCTCTACGACATCCGAAGCAACTACTAAGGAATCTATTTCTCAAATAGGTAATATTTTCTGAGACGGAACTATCAGTGATTGGAGACCAAGGTCTTTGGCTAACTGATTGATAGACGTCAACTCTTCATTGATGTTTTTTTATTTTTCGAGTCATTTTGCTCTTAAAAGCAGTATGAGAAAAGAAACCACTGACCTTTCTCATTGGGCTGTTTTGGATGCTCATCACTTGTGCTTTGAGAGATTCATATGTGAATTTGTCAAACACATTTTCAGCATCTTAAGCAATTCTCTCAAGCATCTTGAGCCATTGTTCCACAGCCTGTGCATCGATGGATACATATTTTGTCAGCATTCTGAGATTTTTCTTGCAGTTCCTTAAACTTCTGGCCTCCTCAATGGTGAGAGAAAGCAGTTTCTCAAGCACAACCTGAACAGTAGCACCAATTACAGGGTCGGCAATTGTTGCGTTTGCTCCTTCTCAAATTTGTCTTCTTCCTTTGCACCAAAGTCTTCTTTTGCTAGTTGTTTATGGACCACTAAAATTCATATACAATAATTCAAAAAAAAATGAGTGGCATTCAGTACTCCAATGACACAAATATCTCTCTAAGAAACAATCCTGTAACTTTGAAGGCGTTTTGTTTTAGTAAAGATTTTCGGAGAATTAAAAAAAGGATAAAATAATAAAACTTTGTCAAAATAAAGCCAATTTAACCAGGTTATAAACTTAGCCAAACTTCCTCCAAAAAGAAAAAAGCATTTTAGGGCTCTTCTATAAGCAGTATTAAGGCTCTTGTTGTACCAATTGCTAAGTAAAATGCTCAATATCTCAAACTGCATTATCTGTTTTGCACAAAATCCATATGATCTGGAGAGCTGAAATCACAAATGTGTTTGGGTGCGAAATTCAAATTGCAATGCCTTAGAATGATAGGGAAATAGTACAACTCCATAAATGGCAGAATTAGCTAGGGTTAGAGAATGAGAGAGAAAGAGAATTGGGAGAGGGAAAATAATACCGGTCCAAAACTGAATGCCCAACTGGAATGACACAGCAATTTGGGCATAACATGTAAGAATTCCAGATTGGCAAGAGTATGAGGAAGAGCATGGAATCCAAAATCAATTATTGTTAGGGCACAGAATCCCAGCTGCAGAATACCATCAATGGGAAGCATCTCATTACTAAAAAATTGCAAATTGTAGAATTTCTGCAATTTCGGGTGTGTTTGGTACGAAGGAAAATGTTTTCTTGGAAAACAAGTTGATTTTTAACTTATTTTCTCATGTTTGATTGGTGAGTAGAAAATATTTTTCGAAAAAGATTTTTTGTGTTTGATTTATGAATGAAAAATGTTTTGAAAAAATTCTTTTATTTTACTAGAGTAGAAATGATTTTTGAAATTGAAAATATTTTTTAAAAACAAACTTAATTTTTTTTGGGGTGGGGGCTGGTAGGGAGTGGGGGTCAAAGGTAGGGGTGAAAAATTAAAATTTTGAAGTTAAAAATATTTTTTTAAAAAAAACTTAAATTTTTTTTGGGGGGTGGGGGGCTGGTAGGGCGTGGGT